CAAAGCTGTGGTTTTCAAGCTACATTCAAGGTGGCCTGAGACGAGGGCTTGCTGCCCTAAAACACTCTGTTCAGGCCGCCTGGTAAATAAAGGTGTAGTTCCTATTGAAGGGTATATGTCACATTCAAGCAGCAGAAGGACAACATGCATCCTCTGCTCTCGCTTCGCAGACCGTCATTTTGAAGGTGGCCTGAACAGAGTGTTTTGGGGCAGCAAACCCTGGTCTCAGGCCACCTTGAATTTAGCTTGAAAACCACACCTGGGAACAGAATTGTAGCTACCCTGGGTCCGTATAAATACTATGTTGCTATACCTCTTACACACCTATACAAGTTCAAAGCACGAATGAGACTTCAAAGCTGTGGATTGCTGTGCGTGTGTAGAGGTTATCGAGCGGTTGACGGAAAGGGAACTTGAAGTACTATACCTGGTAGCTGCACTATAGCTACCCTGGGTCTCTATAGGACTGCATAGTGGTCCCAAAATGGAAGCCGCCGTAAGCCACCACGAGTCATCACAACCACAACGCCTGGTCTCAGGCCACCTTGAATTTAGCTTGAAAAACTGTGTCTTTGAACAAAAGGGTTACCTATGTGTCGGCAGAACAAGACATGAAGCAGATTTGACACGCGGCCGCAAGCGGCTGCGCGAGCTCATTTGATTGCTTCGACGCACACTTGTCGAGAAAGGGAAGCGCTGGCTTTCGTTTTGCAGCTTCTCAGGTGGCGAGCATCAAGGTACTATATTTGGAGGTCTTGAGGTCTTATCAACAGTGCTGGTGCTAACCAAAAGGTCACCATCATCCACTGGCTGGCTGTTCCCCAGGCCCAATTTGGGCCGAACTCCAAACACATCACAGCGCGCGGATCGCGGACGAGACTCGCGCGGATGGGAGGATTTCTTCCACATCCGCATCCGTCCTCATCCCTTCAACGTGCTCCGCATCAACAAGACCTTGTCCTGCGCGGGCGCGGATCGCCTCTCCAGCGGCATGCGCGGCGCCTTCGGGAAGCCCTACGGCACCGCCGCGCGCGTGGACATCGGACAGGCCACTGGAGAGTAGGAGCGCAGGATGGGAGAGGAGGTGGCCATGTGCCGGATTCGGGTCCTATATATCAGTGTTATAGAACCGAGGTTTGAGCGCACCTGAAGTAATTAGCTGGTTGCGAACACCTCACCATGACAGCGAACACCTCACTCACAAGACATTTTTTCACCCGGCCGCTACTGTAGGGCCGCTGCGTAGGGGATTGTTGGAAGAGGTTTGGCTTAGCTGCGTCCCCAGGAAGGGAATAGAATCTGATAGCAGGGACTTGGCGAATGTTTCAAGCGAAGCTTGGATTCAAACCAGAAAGTAGTGGGTGAAGTGCCACATCACATGCCATCCACATGCGCCACGCAACAAAAATTCATCGGAACATTTTTTGGGTGACGCTTGGCAAAGCCCCATGCAATTCAAAGAATCATATAGCCATACTTTTTTAATGTTTTAGTTGGGTTCATGTTAGGGGCTGTGGTGGGCTGTGTGTTCAAGCTTGCATGATACAGATTGAATCAGGGGGGCTGCGGATGAAAAAACGACAAACTCCGGCAAAGTACTTTGGTACTGATTCATGAAGTAACATGCTTGCATGAGGACCTAGTCAACCTAGTCGGTATACGGCTAAGTGGCTAAGCGACTGAGCTGGGCATCCTGAGCGGCGCTTGAGGGAGAGACAAACCCAGAGAAGCGAGGCTCAAACCGCGTGCCAAACATCTCCAGCCTGGTCATTTTGGAGTGACCACCTTCGAGTTGCATCTCTAACATCTCCATCGACCGGAGAATACTTAGTAGAATACTTGCTAGACCACGTGAAGGGACGAGTGTTGATGACTCTAGGAGTATGCACCACCAATGCATGTTCATGTCCTTCCTTGTGTCTCCAGAGATGTCTTGTAGGTGCTCATCTCCTTGCGCACCAAAGAAGAGAAGATCCAATTTGCTGTGGAGGCGCTCAGGCGTGCGAGTGCCAAGTTCGCAGGTCGGCAGAAGGTACACGTGTCCAACAAGTTCGGCTTCACCAAATATACCAAGAAGGACCCGGTGGACTGGATTTGGAATGCAGGGCATAGTCATAGGTAGCCATAGGTCATAGTGATAGGTGTAGTAGGCGAGTTTGATGAGTTTTGTTCCTAGTGTCATGAAGGGCCCACCATCGAAGAACAATTTGAGACAATTGTTTTTGAAGTCGGCAGGTAAAGGAAAGAAGCACTTCTTGCATGTTCGATTTGTGCATATAGCTGTGTTATATAATGTGCAATGTGCATGATATCAGGTGTTGCCAAGATGACCCCGACATAAACACTCTTGTGCTGATCATACAGCAGTTCCTCGAGAACATGTTCCTTACCCCAGCGAGACGGTTTTCTTTTTCTCCGAAACGCTGCCAGACGTTTAGACGTTTTTGTTTTGCGTGCCCAGCTCATGGGCTGTGACTGATAGTACCTGGACTCGACCATCCTCCACACAGCAAGAGTCGCAAAGTGAGACTGACATCAGTCTATCATGGTGGGCTCATCATGTCGCTTGCGCTACCAAATCTGGGCTCATCGGTAGGCAGATGATGGCAGATGTATTATAATATTGTCCCATGATGTCCCATGCATGAAGGGTACAGAGCTTCGTTCCTGCCATTAAATCATATTAAATCCATTGAATGGTATCATTTGATCACGATTCAATGGACTATAGATGATACCATCAAATAATCAAATAGATGGATCATCACGATTCAATCATCTATCATTTGATCTCATAATTCTAATGGGATGGCCCTTAATTTGGAATGCAGGATCCTTCGATCCGAGCAGGGAATCGGACGGACGCGGGCGTTGGGTCCGTTGGGTCGGGGTCCGCTGGGGTGAGGAGTACCATGACTACAAGGCCCAAGGACGTTTGGTCCCTGATGGCACCAACGTGAGGTGGCTCTCCAGCCGCGGTCCCTTGTGGCGTTTGATCGGCCGGGAGAACGCGTGAACGCGGCAAAACGCGGCGCCGGCAGCTCTAGCGCTGCCTGCGAGGCGTAGGTAGCCAGGTTGAGCCGTTTTCGTCGAACTGCACAGGGCACCAACTGGCAAAAGGAGATGCTGCTGACTGCTTGGGGTGGGCTGAACGACTGTAGATTGACTGAGTTTGTTTGGGGCTGTTGAAGGATGTTGACGTCCCGAGGGTCCTGAGTCTCTAAATATTGAGGGAAGTCTCAATGTTGATGTCCAAGAAGATGGCTTGTCTAGATAGGAGAAGTGAACGACGTGGTTTTCCTCTAAAGATGCCTTGCCGCACAGGTATTGAGATGAAACCAGCTGACAGGTTTGATGATCACTAAGTGGCAAATTACATGAGCCACTAAGACTGACCTAACTGGGGTGATATCATCTTGACTACACCCTGGCGACTACACCTGGCTGGACGATGACAGGTTCCAATATGTGAGTGTTTGTTTTGCAGATTCTTGGAGGGTCGACTTTCAGTTCTCCGTTTTTGCTTTCTCAGTGCCCTCGGGTCGTTCGAGGCCTTTGTTCCTCTGCTTTCACCGGTGTCACCGGTGTCGCATCCGCTGCGTGGCCCGGCATCCGACCGCGCCTCGTCCAAACGGCGGAGTGAGGCGGAGGGACCGAAGGACCCAGAGCTGCCTCTAAGGACGGGCCGAGAAGCCGTGTCAACCAGGAGATACGCAACATTCATGGGAATCTGTTGAGTGGTTTTTTCAGTGTCCAGCCTTCCAGGTAAATTTTCTTGCAAGGGCGGTGAGGGTGCAGATCATGTCTAGACGTTTGGAACTGTTTGGCGCCGGAATTGGAAGTGATGCATGGTGCAGCAAATTTTGGCTCAACGACCTCCTAGAACGACTCGTGCTCGCGAAAAGGCAGCCTGCAAGCGCAGCTTTTCGAGTGACCATGGGACTTCTCAGCATTTTGAAGAAGATGAAGAAGGACGAGAAGGAGGCCCGTATCCTAATGCTTGGCTTGGACAATGCAGGCAAGACGACGATCCTCCAAAAGATGACCGAGGGAGACATCTCGCACATCATGCCCACTCAGGGCTTCAATATCAAGAGCATCATGCAAGATGGCTTCAAGTTGAAGCTTAACCTTAGCGACACATCAATCTTTTTGTGTGATACCCATCCCAGCACCTTGTGCATCCAAGAATGGTCTATAAGTTTATAAGCAGAAGAGAAGGGGTGCGAGGTCACTTTAAGCAGAACCTGGAGTTCCCTGCCTTTCTCGTAGTTGTTTTGTGGGATGTTTCCACGATGAACTTGCTGATCCCAGGAACGTTTGGGACATCGGTGGCCAGGACGTCTGGGTGGTGGGTCGTTCGGGTGCTCGGCCTCGAGGTGCGCGTGAAATCCTGTGACTGATGGGCCAAGCGGTGTGTGTTTTAAGCCTGTAGGGTCTCAACAGATATGATACACACTTGCGTCTTAGTCACTAACATGGAAGTGGAAGACCATCTGTATGCAGAGAAAACTGGTCATCCAAGGGGCCATTTTCCACTTCCATTATTATTTCAGGAGGTGAAGTGTGTGATAGTGTGTGTGTATATTTTTGGTGGGCGGTCTGCCAATTGAAAACAGCCTGTTGGTATGCCAGCAGTCACCTGTCAGGAGTCACCTCTTTTGAGATCCGCGAGTAACCCGAGGGTAGTCCAGACAGGGTGACATCGAGGTCCAGATGAAAGCTCCTTTGTTTTCCATCCATAGGGTGGAAATCTCCCTAGATCCGGGACCAATACAGCTGCCAAGACCGAAACACCTTCCATCCATTATAGACACACACATATACAGTATATAGTCATCCGCAAGGTGAACACATGCATGCCCCTTCCGTCGAGTTTGGGGAAAGGCAGGGGGGGAGTTTTTTCTTTTCGGTTGGGCAGGAGAAGCCTTGGAACCTGACTGGTAGATTCCATCGGATTGGCCTTCTTCCTTGGTGCCCAGACAGATCAATGATTTCGACCACTCTTGGCCGCAGGTTACCAGACGGTTAATCGGTTATCAGTTGATCGGACCCCTGAACATCCATCAAACCTTCGATCCTTTGGCTTGGCGGAGTCCCTTCCAAAGCCTCCGGCTGGCGACCCGCAGGAAGCCATTCGTCCCTATTGGTCCAACTACTTCGAGAACACAGACGCCTTGGTCTACGTGGTGGACAGCTCGGACAGCCGGCGTTTGGAGGAATCTGCCAAGGAGTTGGCCGAGCTCCTTGCACAGGCGCCGGGTACATGCACCAAACTACGCTGGTACATGCGCATGTGCGTTCGCATGTGCGTGCGCATGCATGCGCGCATGTTTTGCATTTGGTTTCATAACTGCATCCAGGAGGCTCAAATCATCTCAAATTTGAGTGTGTGAGCACTTGTCCTTCTAACCTCCAAGCTGAAGAACTGTCCAAGTCGTCAGGAGAAGTTGGTCCAAGTTCCTGTGATGGTCTTCGCCAACAAGCAAGACTTGATGAGCGCCGTCCCCGCCGATGAGATTGTTGCAGCCTTGAACTTGGACTCTTGGATGGAATGAATGCAATCCCGGCAGAAGTTCTAGCTGGCACATTGGAATCATTGGAATCCAACACATTTTGCTTTGACGCGTATCATGGATGTGTGAGAGACTTTTATACAACTGGAAGTGCAACTGGAGGACGTTGATTCCAAGGTACTTCACGTTCCTGAAATCTCTTCCGTTCTCGAACGTCCTATGTGTTCGCGAAGTGGTCGTTCTTGTGCCTTTAAAGGTCGGGAACAGGTTGTGGTGCGTCGTTGGTCAGGGGGCACAGGCGCATGGTGCGTATCTTCGTGCGTGCTTTGAAGATCACCGCCGAGCTGAGGAGGCCATCGGAGATCGCTTGTGGCAGATCCAAGCATGCAGCGCCAAAACAGGGGAAGGCTTGCAAGAAGGCCCGGAGGGATTGACGTGGCCTTCAGTCATTAGGTTTGTAATATGTCGTTCCCTACAGCTGTGAGCAAACATAGGTTTGATCCGAGATGGATCCATACATATCATATCATATCATCAAATATCCAGGGAGTTGAGCCATCTAATTATGTAAACAATTTCCATTCTTAGAGTTTCTTCGTGGCCAAGTGTGGGGCTCTGAGGTGCAAAAGTCGATCGTCCGGGGTGGTGAAGATTGGAAGTTCCGAACCAAAGCGTTCTGGTTCCATGTGAGTTATTCAAGGTGTAAGGATGTGGGTGCATGTTGATGGGGCTTGCCTCTTGCACATCCCTCCCCAAAAGAGGTTCTTGCCTCGAGGTATGGAGTGGCTGGTGACGAACGCCAAAAGTGAGAGTGGCTGATTTAGACCTTGAGCCAAGATAGGGCAAAAGATGCCGTGAACTGACTACCTAAACCCAAGATGGGTGTGAGTCGAACTCTGGGACAGCCTAGCCGAGCTGCACATAGCCAAGCTGCAAAAGCAAAAACCCGCGAATCAACATTCTGATTGTTTCTGTCCACCACGCTACTAGTACCGGCCTACTACGGTCTGCGGCGAGTGAGTTGGCTGGGGTTCGGCTCGCCACATCGGTAGTTTCACCTGAGAGACCTTTTGCACGAGCAGTGTGATCAGACGGCCACGGGCGGCCCGTTTTCGTTCCGTTGTTCCGTCGTTTTCGTGTTCTTGTGCCGCCCGTTTGAGCGGTGTTTTTACTATTTGTTTTTCCTTTTGGTATTTGCGCAACTTGGGGCAAGTTCCAACCTTGTTAGCCCACAAGACACTTTAAAGAGATCCCATGAAACAGTGGCTGCTACCTACCAAGAGGCCCAGAGGAATGTTTGTTGCCAGTTCGCATCAACACGTTGTAGAGGCTACACTCTCCAAGTTCAATTGCAAGTGCATCAGATGGTGCACCCAGCTCCTATTAGTAGGGACATCCTCATGCTACTACAAATACAGTATTCCTTGGACAGGTCGACGCTCTTGTCAATCCAACTTGTCCATGGACTAAGGACCAGCTTCTTACGCAGACGCGGCGTCATCGCCGAAGGGGTGTCCCCAAGAGCATGGGACGAAGGAGGTGGCTTGGATATGCATCGTTTTCTGGTGCAAAGAGTGTGGTGAAGAGGTCCCAATTGTTTCCAAGATATTTTATTGTGGGTGTTACTTTGCTATGCGTTGGGGCCACCAAAAAGCCAACTGTAAGACAGTGCAGTTCCAAGACCAGCTGTGACAAGAGGCCTAAGCCGTGCTTCTTGTTTTTTCTACCTGATTTTGTCCCATGTCCAGTCTGTCGTTTGTCAGAGGTCATCCTGCACATTTGCCCTTGAGAGCAAGATCTAGTTAGTCCCACCATAGTCCATCCAAACACCCTACCAACACATGCTCACTGAAAGCCACTGGCTACTGGTCGTTTGCAAATTAGAGAACTTCCTCTTCCAGTGCTCCTGCTTTGGTCACAGATGCTTTGGCCACAGTTCTTGATGGCTTTGTGATGTTTTTTGTGGCTGCTCCAGAGAATCTCCATCGTCTCCTGTCGCGTCCCAGGTATGGAACTCCGCAGCTAAGATAAGCTACTGGTCGGCACTCCTGGCGGCCGTGGCACCAATCGTAGGTGGCGGCAACAGATCAGTGAACCTGATCGAAAGAGGAGTAGTATCATGAGATAGTTGAACGTTGATGCGGCACACGCACACACACGCATACTGATATATAGCGTATATAGTGTATATATATATAGTAGTGTAATATGAGCGATGCATATTATATATGATTAATATACATTGTATAACTATAAATATAGAGTTAATATAGATACTTATACATTTTATACTGTAGTCATGTTTCATTTGGAGCAATTGTTTCCAAGAGAGACATGAAACATGACAAAGTAGTACTTCGTTGTATCCTGTTGCCTGGAACTTTTTGGCTCGGTGACGTCGAATGGCCATCTCAGCTGTATCAGTGAAAGAGAATTGTGTTGATAAAGAACAATGTGCTGACCCATCGGAACAAGACATTTCTGCAAACCGTCACCTGCAAAGTTTGCCCAGAAAAGCTCAGGAGCTGGGCTCAAATCCATCCAAATCAGACCATTCCACAGCAGAAACACAGTGCGTGCCGCCTCTCCAGTCATCTACCTGCTCAGTCCATCGTGCTTCCAATGGCTTTGGTCCCAGCGCATGCGGCCACCCATCGTGCCACCCCGTACGGGCCTCACACGCGCGCGCCGCGGAAAGCGCCGCGGCCGCGCTTTCCGCGCTTGCGAGCCGACGGTGACGGTGAGACGCAGCACAGCAACTTTGAGTCTTGGGCATTGTGGATGGGTTTGGTGGAAAGCAGGAGTTCCAAAGCCAGACATTCCATGCAATATGCATTGGAATGTATGACCTTGACATTGACATCCCGCATATTTTCCACTGAGTGTGTGGACAAGTTGAAAAGAAGTGATGACTGGGAGGGTAGGTGATGGTAGGCGTGCCTGTGATCCCATTCATTGGTTGGGTTTCCAAACGATAGGGGCAGCCGGAGGGCTGTTGGCGCTTGAGGCCACAAGAAGACAAAATGGTCTTGTAGTGAGGAGGAGGACTTCTATGTAAGGCTGGAAGATTGATGTGAAAAGCGGTTAATTAAGACCCCACGGCCCTCTTGGTGGGGGCCCCCTTTTCCAGATTCCGACATCACTATAGGCATAGGTGATGGAAATAGCATTACATGATCCAAGCTTGGGTCTTAGTTGGTGCCGTGTGAAATGCTTGCTCAGGATGTCTCAGTGGCCGTGGTGGGCGCCGGGCCCGTGGGCATCTTGGCACCGCTGGACGCAAAAACGCGGCTTTTGTGCTTTGAATCGAGGTTCCAACTCGGGTCTTCCAGAATGGTGAACATCTCCAGGATGACTTGTTCTGTTGTTGTTTGAGTTTCCGTCATTTGAAGCCACACAATGTGCAGTGTGAGGAAAGCAAAGGGCTTAAGTGAGCTTGAGGTTGTTGACACGACCCCAGTTTTCCACTTGCTCCAGATCTTCACCATTCACAAAACCTATACACCAGTACACCTGCAAGGAAGGCCAGCTTTCTCCAGCTGCACCAGCCGTTTTCAGGTTCGTCGGTCTTCGCGTTTTTCATCAATCCAACCAGTTTCGTCCACTGAGGCTTGCTAACCGCCTTGGCCTTGGCTCGGCGCGGCTTCCGCAAGGCGGGGCGGCCTCCGTGGCCAGGTCTCATCATCCGCGAAACTGTAGGAACTCTTGTGAGGCGTTTGGCCAGGAGACTATCATCCTTACAGGCAAAAACTGACGTCTTCAGGCAGCAAATTCAAGGGTCCCAAAAAGATGCTTCATTCTTTTTCAATCACCATCTCATCCTCCCATCACCTCCCCCCCAGATGTCTTTAGACACGCCACTGACCGGTCACGGCCGGTGGCCCAGCCAGGTGCGCGTCTTGGACCGTCTGCCGGAGCCGGAGCGCCCCGACGCGCCCTGCTGGGGCGACCCGGATCGATCCTACAACCTGGGCCTTGGAGGCCGCGAAGCGGGCCGCGAAGCGTCGAGGGAGGTGGAAAGAGGATGAAAGAGGTGGGAAAGGACCCCAAGTGGTGTGGGAGGCTTTTCGGGTGGAGAGGAAGATGTTCGGGTTGGAACATGGAAGATGTTGGCTGGAATTTCGCCGATGTTTCGGATAAAATTTGGTTGAAGTTGGGGTACTTCACTCCTTCCAACAGAAAGAGGCACAGATCCTGCTTAATTACTTTAGAGGACAAGATCGCCAGCTACTTTAACTACCTCACAAGGTCTTCAAGTTTCGCTCCAAGCTCCGACTCGCAGCCCAAAAATGCCGGGGCCGCCCGCTTCCTTTTGAAGGCCGTGGGCAACGGGCGCTGATGCGCTTTGGCGCCTTTGACACGGTGGACCACTACAGCAGGACGGTGGTGGGCAGAAAGGATTGGTCCAATGGTGAGGCCAAGGCAGGACTGAAGGGTTGGGCCGGGCCGTTGCATGCGCAACGAATCGGACAAGCCCTCAACAAGGAAGTTCTTGGGCGAACACGGATAACCACAACACGAGTCTGGAATACAAGAGGAAAAAAAGGGACAGCCACGGTGGGTGATGAAGTCTGCCAATACTTCCTTTGCCCAAACAACCAATGTCCAAGCACGCCTTCCACGCTGGAGGTGACCCTAAACAAGCGCCGCTTCATGACGAAGGTCATCGCCCGAGATCGTTTGTCAAGCTGCCTCTATCAGGAGCCCGGCCGACGCGAGCCCAGTGGCACATAGATGGATCAAACATGATCAGGCGTGAGAAATGGACATGGGTCAAAACCTGGAGCTCCACATCCTGGTAGGTTGACCTCCTCGCAATTTGTTCATTTTCGGTGGGAAAAACCAGGGTGTCCCAGTAGTGACCCACAGCCAAATGGAGAAATGCTGGACCTGTGATGGCTTTGGATCTGACCGTTAAACCTGCGATGAGCTGGATGAACAAATACGTGAGACCTGTTGGATGGCTAGGGTATGAGGTCATCATCGGCACCAGGGGGTCCGAAGGTGCTTCTGCATCCGATCTTGTGTCCCAACTTGTGTTTGTTTCCCTTGGCCTGCAGCATCCTGTTGCAAAACGTTGGCTGACCGAGGAGTTGCAGGAGAAGCATCCGGAGGTAGAGGTGCAGTTCTCAACCGAGTGCGCCTCGGCAGTCGCCTCGGCAGCTGCAAGGCAGCATCCAAACGAATCAATGCATTTCTTCAACTGGACATGCATCTTCACCAGCTGACAGACGTCGTCCTGGTGAAGACGTCTGACCATTCCTTCGGATCAACGGAATAACCCACCTCCGGACCTCCATTTGGGCACCCTGATCAGAAGGTCCAGGTAAAAAGAAGGTCCTGGTAAAGGGCACACAAGGACAAATAAATACGAGAAGGACTGTCCTAATTCACAAGCACCAGGGTGAAAACATGTGAATTTTGATATTTATATATATAATACTGTCAAATACTGTCAAGGATGACCGAAGCACTGTACCTGATCCTGCAGTCTTTGCTCCACATGTTTGAAAGCCCAGCGAGGCACTAGCGTGGATTTCAGCCAAGCAAGGGCCCGGCTGGAGTTGCAGCGATGTGGAGTGCCGAAAGACGTCCAGGCGATGCTCGCCGGACATCGGAGTGGTCGACGCCATGCAAAGATCCAATTGTGGACGCACCAATACATACATACATACATACATACAGACAGACAGACAGACAGACAGACAGACAGACAGACAGACACATACATACATACATACATACATCCATGCATACATACATCCATGCATACATACATCCATGCATACATACATCCATCCATACATACATACAGGGCCGGGGTCTATAGGGTTCCGTCGATTGTGACGTCCTTCTTTACACCTCCTGGATCCTCCTGGTCTCTTGCCCTGCTCCGAGCACCCGCACGATTCTTGCAGGGCCTGGCACAAGAGGAGTCCTGTCATAGCCTCAGCCTGGGCGATGGGGCAAGTCGGCTCCGCGATCGATGGGCCTATAATGCATTATCCTGGGCCTATGGGTGTCACCGTGTGTCACCTTTACCGGATATATATATATATATATGCTGGATATAAATCAAAAGGCAGTGGTTTCAGAAGTAGATGGCACCATCCCGAAAGGTGGGCTATATGGAGTCCCTTGTACACAAGACATCTGTGGGTTTGTGCCATCTATATTACTCCGAAGCCATCGTGATTGGAACACCGGTTGTTATTAAGTTATTGGTGTGTAGGTTGAATGCTGTCGGTTTCAGTGGGCCTGGTGGACCAATGCTGAGTTGTGAAAGCGAAATAGTCTTCACATGCGGCAGTCTTCCACTGTCACTTTGTTGTTGGATGCTTTTGGGGATGTTGTGGGCATGAAGAGAGTGGCCGACAAGTCTTCAGTGACACCCGGAATTTATCTGAGGTGACATTCTCAATGAGGCCCCAAGCGAAATGGAGGCCTCGGCTTTGGAAAGGGACCAGTGGCACAGGTTGCCAAGGCCTTGATGGTAGGCCTGCAGTTTTGACGTCCAGGGAACACATACAGACTTTAGTTCCTGAATTCTGCAAGTTCTTGCTGGGAAGCCATGAAACAAAGGAATGTGGAAGAGCCATCTTGCCGGATGGAGGAAGCTAGTATACTTCCAGTCAGCAACCTGATGACACGCGTTTCGCGTTTCGCACAAGCCACTCTTCAGTGGAAGGACGCGAAAGAATGTCTTTGGTCCAAACATGTCCGTTGGGATGCTCCTCCGTTGGGAGAAGTCTGAATGGTCGCCCCGCGCCTTCAGTCCACGCGCGAAGTCCCTCAAAAGAGAACTGGCCCAAGCGAAATGAAGGCGCCAGGCCATTGTCATCAGGTGCCGACCGGCACCGACCGGCACCTCCAGAGTCATCCTCCAAAGCTGCTGGTGATGCAGTCTTCCCCTCTCCATTGGTCCACTGGGACTGTAGATCCTGCGCCATGGGCCGATGGAGTTGCGAGGATGCTGGCTGCTCATCCTTCAGGCCGGAGAATTGGCTCATCCAATGAGCCCTGGAAGTCGAACAAGTTGCAGGCCCATACTAGCCAGGTGCCCAGGTAGCCAGGTGCCCAGTAGCATGAAAATCCGCCCTCGCGTCCTTCGCCTTCACGTCCGGTCGAAGCAGCACAGCCCGGATCGGATCGGCTCGGATCGGATCGGAGCGTCGCAGGTGTTCCCAGGCTGCGCGGGGATCCCGTTCTGCGACCCGGAGTATCTCAGCGCGGTGGGCTGCCCTGAAGTGGAGCACGGCATCGACTGGCAGGCGAGGAAAAGGAGGGATGGGCTGGAAATGGGTTCACCAGATGCAGCAGAAGTGATGTTCAGCTACATGGAAATGTATAGGCTTATATTCACACACACACATATAGTCTCATACATATAGATTATCTACATCAACCATGGGCTCAACAACCTTCCACATCTTTCACAGACATTGCCAGGTGCTACTAGCTGCTAGAGGGCAAGCGAAATGGAGGGAGGTCACGAACAATTACCAATCGGTTTTTGTTTTTTTTTGTTGGCACGTGGGTTTGAGCCCGAGGGCCGAAGAAAGGATGAACGATCCGGATTTTCAACCAATTCCGCGGAAGGAAAGACACCCACTGACACCACCTTCTCGCGTGCGGTTTTTTCTGCGCAGCACCCGTGTGACACGGCCGTGGAGGTCTTTCTGGAAGGCACCTGTGAGAAGTGTCCTCCCAACGAGCCGTGCCAGTTGGACTTCGAGGACTGCGAAAAGAATCCGCCCGGCGACGGAGGGGCGGGAGGGCGGGAGGTGTGGGTTTAAGTCGGACGATGCCACGGCAAAACCCAAGTGAAACATGAAGCTAAGACAGTTTCAGACAGTCAAACAATGGCGTTCTTGGCCTGCGGCCACGAAATTGCATCTTGGGATTCATGTTTGAAATTTGCATGATGTAGCTGCGTATTCAGCAGCTTGCGATGTTGCGGTGGAATTTATAGATTGTGCAACTTTTGGCGGCGTAGGTTTAAACTGGCCATGTACATCCTGAAAGTGCTTCAGTTTGGCACATGGCCAGGAAAGACTCCTGGTCCTATAACTAGATTCGTTTCCCTGCCAGACATCCTTTCTCAACTGTTTCACCTCACGGGTTTGCCGAGAGCAAGCACATCACCGACACTAGCGATTGGCCGCCAAGCGGGGGGAGATCAACTTAAACCATCGGGTTAAATGCTCGGTCCGCTCGGTCATGCTTTGGGGTTTTCCACGTCGACAGAATTCGTGGTCAAAGAACAAGCACACTTATGACCCCTTAGAAGGGGGCGTAGGGGCGTCCATTTGGTCACCTGTCGGGTACCGGTGAAGCGATCCTCCGTGGGTCCAACGGGTCGCCGACCTCGCCCACAGGACACAGCTTTCCAGCTTGCCCAGGACGGGAGGTACTTGTGGAGGAGTCCTACTGGTGCACACTCATGCACATGCTTTAAACATCAAGGAAAAGCATGCCATTGGGATTGATTAGGAGACTATTCTCTTTGAATCTCTTTTGGCCTCGGAGCCGTCTAGCCGTGCTCCCTCCAACGGCCACCCTCGACTCCGTCCCGTCCCAGGTGGCCACGGCCGGCGGTGCGGAGGGGGCGCCCCACTTCCGCTGTGCTCCGGGGTTGCTCTCGACGATGATCATCATCGCGCAGTGCGCGACACGGCGACGGGCGCGCCGGTGTGGGGATGCTGAAGAGAGAGAGAAGGTCTTGAAAGGTAGGTAGGACTACATAGTGGCTGGGATAGGAAAGATGTCAATCGTGCGGGCGTGTGGGGGCTGCGGCTAGAGAACGAGGAACCGTGAAGCTTCGCTGCAGCGATGCTGGGCCGCAGGTACTTCTTGGTGAAGGAGCCCACACCAGAGGTCGCGAAGATCCTAGGCGCCGGGTGGGCACAGACGCAGATGGTGTCGGTGTTGCCCGCGGCAAAGCAAAGCAACGATTGTTTGTTGGACGTGCAGGTTGGGCTCAGATGACCACTCCGTTCATTTTTGGAATCTAAGAGGGTTGCCCTACTTATATCTCTCTCTATAATATATATATATATATCCCACATATATAAATCCACAAGATTCCAGAAGCATCTAATAGCATCTATAAGCCTTTAAGATCCTTTAAGCATTTTTAAGCCGCCATGTCATCCAGGCAATTCACAACATGACAGCGGGTCGGAACAGGAGGCTTCCCTCTGATGTGATTTGTTTTCCATGCATCCCACGATCAAGTTGCTTTTTGGTCTCCGCCAATAACCCCACGTTTCTCATCCTGCAGGGCCATGTGGTTTGTTTCAGGCAGGTGCTCTAACATCTCCATGCGGGTGATGTGCAGCTGATGGAGATTATGGCGGTTATGAGTCTTGTTTAGTGATATTATTTGACACCTCTTGCTTGCCTAAGAGGTAAGCAAGAACAGCCCGCACATTTTGGGTCGACACAGGGTCCGCTGGAATTTGTGGGATTTGAACTGGAACTGGAACAAAACTTCTGAAGGCTTTCGCTTATACAACTACAGAAGGCGAGAACTATTATAGTAGACCCAAAGTTTGTGGGTGCCTGGCGGTGCTTGTGGAACTTCTTTTTGTGATTGAACTCGGACCCACCCTGCAACTGGCGGTGCTTGGGTTCTAACTGGTCCTTCCGATGACTCGCCAGGCACAGGTGCCTCGTTGGCACCTTTCCCCTTCTACACCTCGCAGTACAGCCGCTATGCCAACATGGTCCCGATGAACCTCCTCCTTTGTGGCTTGGCCAGTCTGATTTCTTCGACTTTGCTAAAGTGCCATCAAGACTCTTTTAGGCCCTTGGTGCCCAACGTTGGTGGTTTTTAGATGTTTTTAGATAGGGGGGGATTTGGGATTTGAGCCTGCAGTTCTCAGACGGGTGGATCATGAGGTGCATGTGAGGACCTGCAGCTGTTCTGCTATATATACTGCTCGATGGCTAATCACGACAAGGGTCCTCAAAGAAGAGCAGAATCATAGGAATGATTTGGATTTTCTTGCTCATTGGGTGAGACAGTTCACCTGGCAGGTAGGAACCGGCTGAACATTTATATATTATATAATTAACCCTCGACCCGAGAATGGCCAAGAAATCAAGATGATTGAAGATTTGCTTGCCAAGCTTTGCGGATGCTACCCTTGCCATTGCTGCGGGACCAGGTAATACACAACAGTCCTCGGCGCCGAGCATGTACAACAGGCCAGGGGGTACCATGTTACCAGCGAGGAGAATGTTCTTCATAGGCATCGAAAGGAGGGCGAAGACTCATTTATATACTACTGTAGCTAATTCATGTAGACTGTAGGCTGTTGATTATGACATGGAACCCAATGAAGGGGGTTTATTAATCAAGAGTCTACAATACAATCACTAGGTCACTAGATCATTGGTTTCTTTGTGGTAATGCTGGCCTGGCACAAGCGTCAATTGGTCACGTTCTTGTGACTGTCGGTGGAACAAAGACTTGAAACCAAGTCCTGGGCAGACATGGGTGTCCAACAAGTTTTCCGCCAACCGGAATATGCGCCACAGCGTTTTCCGCCAAACCACTCACTGACTCAACTCCTTTGGTTTGGCATTCCCGGCGGCCAAACATCGGCGATGCCAGGTACGTGCCTCGTGTTCACGCCGAGGACTCGGGTTTTTGTGGTTTGGTTTACACCGACGATCAGCTGGTGAGGAGGTGTCGGTCCTTGCGCCAGAATGTGTCTTGGATGGTCTTGGGCAACTGGTCGCATGGTCTTGGATGCTCTGGGGTGGCGTGGGGAGTGGCGGGAGTGGCACGATGTGGCAGGGCTTGGTGGGCTTTGTTTGGGGCAGCTTTGGGGACACAGAGGTTAGTGCCGTGAAAAGGTCAGGGCGGGTATACATGTTAAAACTATGTAGCTACAGATTCGTGTATATATATATATACACGCTCTGCGAAGGGGCAGTAAATTCCTTTAAAATAGCAATCCGAAAGGGACTTTAGGCATTTGAGGCTTTGTCATCGATTGTGGCGATTGGATAACCGAGATATTATATAATATAGCTTATAACACAAAGAGACGTTCACTTTGAATGCTTGCGTTCAACAATCATCAGGTTCTCAGCAATTCCATGCGAATAGCGGTGCAAACTCTAAACCTTACAACCCTAAACAAACAATCCCTCGTTGATTGGTGGGGACGAACCATGCGTCCTGGCATGTCCTGGCACTATATGATATCTAATCTTTGTGGCATGATATGGCCGGAATCAGAGCATTTGGAAGCACAATGAAACACACGGATCAGATCCTCCCATTTGCGGATGATCCCACGGACCGGGTCCTACTGTTGGCTCCTGCCTAGGCGAATGTGCTTGCACGTGTGGGCAGCACTTTGGACTCTTTGGACACTTAGCGTCGAAATGGGGGCCAGATCTGGGGCCCACATGCCACAGGAAGTGT